ATAAATTATTTATTTTTATAAATAAATTATTTATAAAAAGGTATAAATGAAATTTCTGAATATTTACAAATAAATTTAATTATTTAATCTGTGTGTATGTGTTGTGACTAAAGCAATTATATATTTCAACAAATCGATCAGTGATTTTATTTTCAATATTTTTTTCGGATAGTTTGCAAATCACAACGTGTTTAATCCGTTCGAATAGGTAAACATAAACGTGTGTACAAAAGCGCATGTACAACAATTCCCCATACGCGCTTCTGTGTGTATCGCGTATCGGGTCAGACGAGCGATAACCTGAAACGAACGAGGTCGGACGGCTAAGTCGCAAGGTGCGAATTCAAAACCAAGGTGGAGAGCGCGATGCGATTAATATTGATTATTTACGATGCATTGCGCTCGCATGTAGAAGCGAGAAGGGGCTTAATCGCGCGGCGACGACGACCGGACGAACGGATACGTAAACGTCACGTGTACGCGTTTTACGTCCATTAGCCGCGCCTCGAAAACGAACGTGTCAGAAATCTGAAGGGCAGCCGGCACGCCACGCCGCGACGTGCAAACGTCTTTTGATCTTTGCCGCCGTACGCGCGAAATGCGCGTAGACATCCGCATTTCCATGTCGCGCATCCCGCCGAGATGCGCTCGTACGCGATCGAATCGCGTTAGCGTTTTGCGCCGTGCATTTCTTAATCCGTCAGTATCTCTAATCGCAAAAGATTATCATGTCGAGAATCCATGAAGCTGCTACTTTTAATAAATAAACGATCATACGAAATATCATATGCTATAAATGCAAATAAGTTTAAAAAAATTGACATTAATATGTAAAATGTAAGTTGGAGTAGGCGTCCTTGTGCATTTTTGTAAAAGAATTCCAAATACTTATATTTATCTGTAAATACATATTTCATGACTCTCAGAATATAGAAAATATTCTGATAATTTTATAAAACGATAAATCACACAAAACTAGAAAATGTGTAATCATTTTTGCAATATCAAATATTTTTATTCTTTGATAATAAGATAATTATATATAAAATATTTATTTAATATATAACAAAATATATACGTGCCATTAGCCAGTCTATCCTGTTTTATCATAATAGCTTTATCCCAACTAATATAGACATGTTGTTTTACAGAGAAAAGAATTAATTAATTTTTTATAATAATAATAGAAACGAATTGCATGCACGCATAACTTGTTCGATCATCTTTATTACACTGATTAAACGATGAAGCTGTCATCATTAAAGTTTTTCTCACAGGCACATGCGTGCATTTATCAGTGGTGACGTAGATTTGAAACAAAATTA